CGTTTAGAAACTGGTTTTTGAAAGAGGATTTTTTCGGGTTGAGTTTATTGTGTATGTGTGTGTGTTGAAAAGTAGCCACGTGTCGTCTTTATTGGGAAAATTTCTTCACTTGTAGGAAATTTTATGTAGATTTAGAATAATACACCTCCAAAGGCTTAGATACTATTTTTAAGAGGGCTAATTTTATCAAGTGACTTACCTATATGTTATAACATGCGAGTGCCATACAAAATTTCATCCAACAGCAGAACTGTTTTATGTCCAATCTCTAAAGAATAATTGATTTAAAAGGATCTACCAGTTCTACTGCCGTTGTTGCCAATTAACAAATAAAATAAATGCCTTTATTGTCAAAAAATTTTTCAATTTGTAGACAAAGGTAAACTAACAAACAAAGTAAAAAAACAAGGTACACAAACAAACAAACAAAAGATAATACAAAACAAAAATATCAATGACCTCTAAATAAATTTATTTCGATGTCATTAGTAAATATAGCAATAGCAAACATTAGACCAGTCAATTAGACAAGATCAAATTCAATTCATTCAATTTCAACATTAGACAAGATCAAATTCGATTTTCAAAATATAATTCATTTACGGCGTAGAAAGCCTTGTCTAGTAAATAAGAGTTCACTGCTTTGCGAAATGAAAAAAACGATGTTATGGATTTGATTTCAAATGGCAGGTGATTGTGCATTTATTTCGAGTTGTATATAATATTGAACTTTTAACTAACTCTGAGCGTGGGGTAGGTAGATAAAGATCTTGCTCCGCGTTCCTGAGTGGATAAGTGTGAGATGGTCTTTCTTGAGAAGCTGATACATATAGTTATTTTCAAAGTTAAATAACTCGGTTATTACCGATTTATTTTAAAATGGTAAAAGATCATATGTCTCTTTTGTCCAGATCTGCCACCCCTTCAAATACTGGGACTTATTATTTCTGGACATCCTGTATAATAATATTTATGTCCTAAAAACTTCACTCTTTTGTCGTCTCCATTAAAAAGCGTCGTGGGCGTCAGTCGTCGTCAAAAAGTGTGCCACGTTACCACCCCCTCCCCTCCTCTACGTCTTTTTTCCCTTTCTTTTTCGGTCCTTTGTAGCGGAGACGGGCGCTACATTATTAGGTTTGTATGGTGACGAGAATTCCCTTCCTTCTTTAGACGGTTTCTTTCGCTCAGAACGAGACGACTTCGCAGTAGAGGGCGCTGCTTTTGAAATTCAGATTTAATTTTAGCAGCCACCAGGAATGACAATCCGATTAGACCTCCGATTTCGCAATTTGACAGAATAAATTATCACTTTTTTGTGTGTTGCGTTCGTTTAGAAACTGGTTTTGAAAGAGGATTTTTCGGGTTGAGTTTATTGTGTATGTGTGTGTGTTGAAAAGTAGCCACGTGTCGTCTTTATTGGGAAAATTTCTTCACTTGTAGGAAATTTTATGTAGATTTAGAATAATACACCTCTAAAGGCTTAGATACTATTTTTAAGAGGGCTAATTTTATCAAGTGACTTACCTACAGTACGTCTGTCCGTTCTGTAGCTACGGGGTATCCGTGAGAGGGGAAACGATATTCTCTCGATGTTTTTCGTAAAAAATTAGACGACGCGTCCCTTCAATAAAAATTCAACAAATTTGCAAGCTAACAAAATGAGTGGGCGGAGCGATTTGCGGTGACATACTCGTCAAGTCGACGTATAAAATATATTGTCGTATATTTAAATGTTTTTTGTCCGCATTCCTTTCATAGACACAGATCCACCAGACGTACTGTATGTGAACAATGCCTGTATAAGTAGTGCCTGTTGGATAAAAATAATTATTTAAGAGCAGAATAGCATCTGTATTTTTTCTTACAATTTTTCGAAATCGTTATCTTTTTTCGTACAGTATATCTCTCTACCTTTACAATTTACATTAACAATATGTTTGACAACTGAAGCGAACTAATTCTGATTAATTTTCCAAAATAAAAAAAGACTTTGCAGGCAGCGATTCGGAAGAAATCGCGGGTCTGGGAGACCAGTTCCCTCCTTTGAAAATTAATTTAAAAAATTTCGTAGTGTGTCTGTATTCGATAATTAATGCGTTTTTTTTCGTTCCTCTTCTTATTGGGGACCGCGACCAATTCGCCTGGAAAATTCGGAATTGAGAACTTTTCCGGAACAATTCTGGATTAATTGACGCGACCAGTTCGGAATCCGCCGGAAAATCTCTTTGAAAATTTAAAAAATTCGAAAAAGTCCAATGATAAAAGTCCAAAGGTGGCATTGTTTAATTGAGGAGCAGACTTACTAAATGTATTTTGTCCATTTTTTAATATTTCAAATTTCAACCAAAGATGTGAATAGAAAACATTTCTTGAACAAAAGTTGTGAAATTAACATTAAATGAAAATGAAATTTCTTTAGATTCGGAAATTGTAAAACCTTGTATGCCTCCAGATGCTGTCACTCCACTGCTTGAAATAGGCTCTGTCATTACAACGGCTCGTTCTGGAACACTTACAGCACCTTGAATCTTTTTCGCAATCTCTATTTTATTGTTGATGGACTCTTCGATATATCCTTCCGCAGCCGTTGCAGATCGCCATCCTCCCCGTGTCTTTTTAACGTTGTCGTGTTCACTCCTGCATTTGCCAGTAATGTAGAGGATGATCTTCTCATACAATGGCCAGTGTATTCCTCAAAATATTGTAGACCCAAGTACTTGCGGAAGATCTTCCTAAATCATTTTTCTTTAAAATCTGACTTGCTGGTTGATAATTCACTATTTTATCGGTAAAAATAGCGATTTATCTAAATGACGTCTTAATGTCAGTGCTATTCATTATTTACAAAAAAACGCACATCTATATTGTATAGTAACATAAACGCACCCCGATAATTTATTAATTCGCAACAATGTCAACTTTCACTGGTAGATACTTTTAAATCAATTATTCTTTAGAGATTGGACATGAAACAGTTCTGCTGTTGGATAAAATTTTGTATGGTGCACGCGTGTTATAACATATGTATAAGTCACTTGAGAAAATTACCTAAACATTTCCGAGCGTGACTTATACCGTGCTGACAACTGTTACTTTTGGGTCGGCATTTACAAGTGTGGAAGTAAATCGCATAGGGATCTTATTAAGTCGGAATGAGAGAAATGCGACGGTGTGCTGTTGCGGCGTTGCCGGTACGCCTTTCCCTATCAAGTAAAGTAAAATCACGATCGCAAACCGCTTATTTTTAAAAGACTTTTTTTTCAAGAGATAATTAGATAAAATCATTAGACATGTTTCTGATCGTCTGAAATGGAATTACGAGTATAAGGATATCGTTAGGGTGTCATTTTTTTTCATAACGAGAAAACGTCAGTAACCGCGATAATTTCAAAACTCAACTTTTTAACACATAACAGGTCATAGCTCAAGAACCACTTTAGATACTGAAACTGTTTTTTATTTTCAAGATCGGATATTTTACAATATGTTTACATAAGAAAAATTCGATAAGGTTGTTTCTTCCATTCAAAAATTGTAAACAATCCATCCATTTACTTTTAGAGCATAGCAATTTTCAGCAATCGTGTATTTTTTTTATTAATAAACATTTTCACATACTGTCTACAAAGAAAATACAGCAGAAATATTAACAAAGTTCTTGAAAAGACTACAGTCTATTATTTCAGAGTTCTAATAGCGCGACCACTATCGAACACCCACTCAATTCCACTTATTTTTACCAAAAATGCAAGTGTTTCTAGCTTGCACTTAAAAAAATTCAAGTTATAGGGAAAATTACGACGACTCCTTAATAAATAAACAAATTAAGTATCACGAGACGTAATTAAATCGTGAAGCTGAACGCATGACGTACACCTTTCCCTAGAATTTTAAGTACTGACAGAGGTATTGATTGGGTCGACCGTCTCTTAGCGATGTGCACAGTTTCTCGGTTTATTTCATACGTTTGGCAACGTGTTTACTGTCCTCTCTTTGTTCAGTACATTATAAACGCATTGTACTTTTCTTACATACGGAAATCTCGACCCAAGACTAACCTTTGCCAGCCCTTAGTATGTAAGATAACACACTATTACCATAAATAACTATTTTTCAATATTAAAAATAATATTTTTTTCAACCAAAGTATCTTTCTTTAATAGCACTGGGGTGGTTAAGGGTAGCGCCCTTTGTAATTTCTCGCGTTCTATGCACCCCTCCTCTCTAATCTTCTGCGGTTTTGAACTCGCGACACTTCGTTTATCGTAGCCTCTTTATTCCGCCACCCCCAAGGCTATTTGCATTCTGGCCGAGGGGTTGTTTCCAACAAATTTCAACCGGGTTTTCGACGAAATATCGCCGATGTTAATTGGTTTAATGGCGTGAAAATTGAGCGACGTTTTCCAATGACATTTGACTACCTCGTCGTCAATTTAAAATTTAAACAGCAACAGAAGTCATTTACATGTTTTGATTTGTCTTTTTATCTTGCATTATTAAAAACGATATAATGAAATAAAGATTTTCAGCCACGTTTTAGGGTGTGTCTGAAATCGGTTCGTATTGTTTAGAAAATTTTAAAGTATGTTCCGATATTATTGATCGGACGAGTTCCGCTTTTCTCGGAATTTATTCATTTTTTCTTGTACTCTTCATCAGTACGATCCCTTTAACTCCAATTCTTGAGACTGTTGAAATTTGTATTTCTAAAACGCTATCAATTTGTATTTTACATAGGAATTTTTGCATTGTACTTGCTTCATATACGACGTCCACGGGCAAGAGTGTTCTACCAGCGTCTTTCTCAGGAAATATAATTTATAAGCTAAGCAATGAGCTCTTGTTCATTTTGGTTCATTCTCAATCTTTGAGGAATTTTTGTAATTAAAAAATTTTAATTGTGTTTTTTACAGCAACAATAAAATTTTAATCGATCAATAAAATTATATCCCCATATCAAATGACAATGACAATAATTATTACTAATGATTATTACTGACCAACACTCTATGGAACCGTTACGAGACCCAGGATGGTGTAGTGACGACAGCTTGGGAGTAGGCAGGTGGAGGACCGGTCTGTAGGGATATCGAAGACTCTGTTACCAGTCCCTGTTGGGCCATCGTCTGTTGCTGGCCGCCGAAATTAAAGTCCAAACAGCCCTCGGCGTTGAGTTCTTGCTGAATGATGTCCTGGAAATATAAAAAAGATTAATAAAAACCAACTAAAATCAAACATTTTTTATTATTGGATTCTTCAAAGTATTGTGTTCCTTTTCTGATCTCTAGGTAATATAATGTAGTGCCTATCTACCCCCAACCAGCGTTGTCAGGTTCTTACAAATGCACCAGCTCTGTTAACATTTCGTTGAGACTTATTGAATTTTCACCATTTTTTTTCACAAACTGCAAATTTTACAAATAAAACTTTCTTAATGATATAAATTGTATTTTTAAATTTATTATAGGGAATTATAGAAATTCTGGCAACACTGCTCCCAACCCTGCCGTTATCTCTGTGTCTGTGTAAATTCATAAACGAAATAAAGCACGAATAAATTGACTTAAAATATGTTCATGCATTTATTGGTATTCAATAGAGGTAACTTTTATTCGCCATTTATTTTATTTTTTCCAATAATATTTAGATTTATATCCTTCTAATCCACGTTATAACCGCTGCAATTTAAAGTAAAAAAATACTTTTGTAAGATAATTACATTTTTGTGTCTTTTGTTCTTAAAATATGTTTGCTCTAGAAAAAATTTAGCTTAAACAACAAAAAAACATAATTAGAACCATTATTCAAGATACATTATGCTACCTACTGCTGGAACGAAATACGTCGCGAGTCGTCGAGGTCGAGTGTCGATAACTAGTTACCAGTTACTTCTGTTCGTGACTGAAGAAAATACGACTCTAGTAGGACCGAACGACGGCTGGACCGAAACACGTCGTGGTTTAGCTCGCGCAACGCTATGTAGTTACCAGTTCCAGTTACTACTGTTGGCGACCGACGAAATCGCAACCCTAAGAGCGCGACGGCTGGAGCGAAACATGTCGCTATGCTGTTACTGCGGTTCGAGCCAACCAAGAGCGATTATAAATAATTTATTTGCAAATTATAAATAATTTATAATTATGTAACCTTAAAGAATTAATTAACGTATAATTATAATACGTTATTATGATGGTCGTTCTTCAGTAACAGGTTCCTGATTCGTTGTGGAGCGCGACACGACGTTACAAAAAACACATCACTATATGATGTGATACAGTATAAGTGATGTACAATACTTACATCTTATACAGACTACAAAAAAAAGTTATTTATTTAAATTATTAGTTCCCGTTATTACTTCCCGTTCATGTTTGATTTATACCCTAAATTATCTTGTTCACGAGCGTTCAATTATAATGGCGCTGCAGCAAAAGTTCTACATTTGAAAGCATCACATTTATACTTACATCAACGTTACAATCGAAGCCTCCCTGTAATGATTCCACGTTGATGTTGAGATCGTCGCTGACGTTGAGGGCGCCAATGTACTGACCCATCATGGTAGAGGGCGTGCCCTGGCTCTGGGGGGTTAAAGGAGGACTAGAAGAGGGTGGCCTGGGGGGTAATCTGGCGCCCATGAACTGATGACTGCTGAGTGGATCAGGCGATGGTTCTGAGTGTGGATAGGAAGGTGACATCCCCGTAGGTGACATCCTCTAAAAAAGACGAACAAAATGTTTTAACTATTTTTATTAGAGTCCATTTCACCAGTCCGAAAAAGTAGCAATAACGTTTTATGTAAAACTGGCTAGGTATTTTTAGGGTGCGTCTATGTTGGAGCGGCGATAAACGATAAGAGCAGCGATAGTAGCGAGGCAAAGAATATTATTATATTAATTTATATGTAGGTGTTTATATTGAAGCAGCGCGTCGAGACACGGTTTGCAGTTGAGCAACGATAAGAGCAGCGCTACTTCACTGCTTTTATCGTTTATCGCAGCTCCAACATAAACGTACCCTTAAAAAGAAACGCGATGGTGCCTAGGTATGTCATGATCAGTGTTTCCCTTAGGCAGAATCATTTTTAAACTCAAAAATGTGTTAGATAAACAAATTTCAGACATTGAGAAGTTACAAATAACTTCTTTTAAAGATCTTAAAACAGAAATTATTAAATGTTAGATGAGTTTCTTTAGAAAAAACAATCTTACGTGTTTCCTCTATTGCATCACATCTCTTAATTTACCTTCTTTTACAAACAACAAATTCATATAAATGAAATTTGCAGTACTTGAAAGAAGGCTATATTACAGTATTTTGACATTTTTTTGGCAAGTTTTCAACTGAAAATACACCCAAATCCAATTAAAAAATAGATAGAGATGTATAGTATTTATTAAAAACATTTTTTTGAATAAAAAAGGTTTGTAAATGCACATATTTTTGGGGACTTTATTACTTACAGTAATTTACAGTGAACTAAGAGTGGACATCAATCATGAAAATGAGGAGCAGACTTTCTAGATGTATTTTATCCATTTTTTCAAATTTTGACAAACAAAGAAAAACTGCTACTCTTTTTGCAAGAAACTTACTTAATCAGAGACTATAAGAATCGGTGGAGTCGTTCTAGAGTTATAAATGGTGTCACTAACATGTTTTATTTATTTAGACATCTTACCTCTACTTTGACACAGGCTGGCATGCAATTGCACTGTTGCATCCGGTGCAGTGGACACGCAAACGGCGACGTTGCCGACATCGTGTGGAATTCTCGATTTTGGAATTGTTCGTTGTATATTGTGGAGTTGTAAGATGGCGGAGGTTGCGTCTGGGCGGTTTGTTCGTTCAGGTACCTAAAAAACATATTTATTTATTTATTGATTTATTGGTTTATTGATTTACTGATTGATTGATTGATTGATGATTGATTGATTGATGATTGATTTATTGATTTATTGATTATTGATTATTGATTATTGATTATTGATTATTGATTATTGATTATTGATTATTGATTATTGATTATTGATTATTGATTATTGATTATTGATTATTGATTTATTGATTTATTGATTTATTGATTTATTGATTTATTGATTTATTGATTTATTGATTTATTGACTTATTGATTTATTGATTTATTGATTTATTGATTTATTGATTTATTGGTTGATTGATTGATGGAATTATTGATTTATTGATTTATCGATTTATCGATTTGTTGATTTACTGATTTATTGATATATTGATTGATTGATTGATTGACTGATTGATTGATTTATCAATTTATTGATTTATCGATTTATCGATTTATCGATTTATCGATTTATCGATTTATTGATTTATTGATTTATTGATATATTGATATATTGATTGATTGATTTATTGACTGATTGATTGATTTATCGATTTATATAGGTTAAGTTTGTGAACATATGTAAGTTAATTCAAAGCACTTATTAAATATATAGAGTTTTACATCCCATACAGCACGTCCAAATGAAATTACGTTTCTACAAGGGAGACACATGAGAAACCAAATATGTTAAAGTGAACCTAAGTGTTCATCTAGTTCTAACATATACATATGAGATACACGCAGGTTTATATTGATAGAATTGTGTGATACAGTGTTTACTAGTTGTATACCGTATGCACTCAAGATTCTAAAGAGTTTTTTGTAACGTAACAAATAATTATTAAAATGATAAAATCTGACGTCGGTATATGAGACATACAATGTATAAGTCATATGTATGTGTGATACTTCGTATCATTGTTGTGCCTATGATACACACCTTGTAAAAATGTGACGTATACACATAATATAAATATCTATATAGACACTTTGTAATAGTGTACTGTTGTGTCTACATTCTAGCATGAAATGAAGGTGTGCGCATGCGCGGATAGCCTCAGCGTAGACATACCGACCAAGTGTATCTTATGTGTCCTCTCTCCTTTCTCCTTTCTAGGAGTGGTATGTGTTAGCAGCCATTATTGTTTTATCATTCGGAAGCTCTATATAAATGTTCTGTTTGTGTGTAGTTTAAAAGAGATTTTAAGGTAAGTCCAAGTTTTTAATTACCATCTTACACCTTCCTAAGAGTATTATTAATATTATAGCAGCGACTTTTACTCGATACCCAATTTACCAAATTTTGACTCCAATGAATGAAAACTCCAAATATTCTCGTATAATGATAAAGAGGTTATCTGAGTTAGCTCTGCAATATAATTTTTCTTAATTTGGAAATAATAAAAATCTAAATGGACCAGAGAAAGAGAGATTTAAACACTTCAAAGAACTTCTTACACTGATATTCCGTAAGTTATTGATGGATCGATATACAGATATGTTTAATATTCAATAATCAGTTTCATATAAAATTTAAGGGTGAGATTGTTAATCTGGAAATAAAATACAACAAAGTCCAACAGAGTGCTCGATGAATGAGTATGCTAATAAACAAACTGCTTGGAGGAAAAAGAGGAGAAAAAAATGACTAAACGAGATCCACCAAATCGTGGCGATATACCAGTGTTTACCATTTTAGTATGTTGTTATACTAGGTACTTATATTTTTAATACATTTTGATACAAATTCTGTTCTTTTACAGTGTTTTCTTACTTCTGGTTTCTGCAGTGTAAATAATTATTATTATTGTGTTATTTGCGCTATTGCGTTCCATGATATAAAGAAATATAAGAATTTTATTTTTTAACTACTTAATCCATTTTATGGAAGAAAAATGGTACATTTAATACAAAACAAAAATGGAACAATTTTAAGGCTACTTCTCTTTAACTTACGATTGAGATACTTTTGGAAAATACAAAGTTTTGCCTTCCTAATTTTCGTTCTAAAAAGATATAATTGGTATCATTGAATAAATATTTCTTAAAAAGAACGAAAAGGCATCAAAACTTGTATTATTTCCTAAATTCCTTAATAAGAACTAGTTTTATCTAGCACTAAGATGTATATACGAAGCAAAATACATACGTATACACGCGGTAGTCACAACTGCAATGTGTAAACATAGTTTAAACGTAATACATCAGCACTGTGTATCCTACGGCACACTGTGTATCCCTTACTTTATGTATACGTAAATGCTATACTGTGGCTACACTGTGAGGCGGACGTTTAACCTTTGTGCATACGTGTTGAACTACAATGTGTAAACGTAGCATATTTACATCGGAGGAATTGTGTCACCCTGTGTCTACATGTAATAATGTAAACACAACGTAAATGTGATTTGACGTGCTGTATGGGATAGTATCCCCAAAAAAAGTTACACATCAAAGTCTGTTTTCTGTAATGAAACACCCTATTTTAAATTGATTTTTGGATTCTACGAGAAAAATAAAGATGAGTTTTATTAAGGAAGTATATGACTAAAATATAAGGCTTTTAACTTATTTAACATTTTCTAAAAATGAAGAACAATTTTGAAATTTCAATAAAAGCTACCTAAATTCGAATTTACCCGGTACAGTCTAACAAGTAGTTAAAATAACTATTGTACTTTAAATAAAATTAAAACTTGACCCAAAAAGTTATACAGGGTGAGAAGATAGAAGGGTAAGTCCTAACGACTTTTTTACTTCTTCAAAAATTAAGAATGAACTGCTTGGTCAATGGTTCCAATTCCCAGAAGATGCCTCTTCGAAATACGATAGCGCCTTTAGAACACAATTTTGAATGTACAAACAAGCGAGTGGAATAACTGCTTTCAGAATTGGTTCAGATGTATAATTGCAGTTCTCGTCGTTCTCTCGAGAATACTTCGAAAAACAAAGTTAGCTACTGTTTTATTTCTGCTTCTATATGCAAAATATAAAAGACAACCTTTGTATTTGTAGTTAAAATATATATTTACCCTATGTAGGCGTCATTCTGTAGCTTCATCCTCTGTTCCAGATTTCCTGCCAATTGATCGGGGGAATAGTTGCCAGTGTTAGAAGCTGCGGGAGTGCCATTAACCATATCTCCTTCGTTAAAACTACTGCCGTTGAACCCTGAACCCCATTCAGGCTCAACCCCAACGGCTGGAATGGGGGATAACCTGGCAGACGACTGGGAAGATGTCCTAGGTCGAAAGTCTGGGCTCAATTGGAATCCACCACCGCTAGAAAAATAGTTTGGTTTAATAATTTGGTTTTGGAGCGGGCGAAGAACATAAACCACCTGACATGGAATGAGGAGACAATGTTACAGTATAATGAGACAACCAAGCGATGTAGACAGGAATACATTACACCAAGAATGATTTAAAACTTACTTAGACTAAATGTTTGAATAGTGTGTGGTTTTATTCTGATATAAGTACCTTCAATTTTACAAAAAAATGGTCAAGTGCGAGTCGGACTCGCGCACGAAGGGTTCGGGTTCCGTTCCAACATTAGACACTATATTATTACAAACTTTTTTTTCGATTTAGCTGAAATTTTGGATGCGCGTATAAGTAATTAAAAAAAAATGAAGAAACACATTACTAAAAATTGTATTAATAAATAATAAATATGTAAAAGTATGTAATAATTAAAAAAAAACGATTAAAAAAAGTCGCCTTGAATAGGATTCGAACCTGCCTTACTACGGCTCCAACGTCATAGCAGCGTAAAGTCCTAACGCTTTAACCACGCGGCTACCGAGGACTTGAAACCGAGGACTTTCAACTATCTAGCTATAACCCTTGTATATGAATTTTTAAAATAGCTCAACCTAAGACGTTTATGGATGTAAAGCACCAGATGGCAGGGCGTATTTCACAGTCTTTTACTAAAGAAAAATATTTTTTGTTACTCTGAATTTTGAAGCGGCCAATAAAAACAGAGAAAATAAAAATCGATAATTTTCGGACTGTGCCAATTGGTTACTAATCGACCAGATACTTTTTGTCTATTAGATATGCTATAAAAGCTGGTAATTATACAATTCGACCATTGTAAATACCCGATAAATTCCGCAAGGCCAGGTCGATGTTTTTCACTGATAAGAAAAAAAAATGTTTGTTTAGATAATTTTCGAGATATTTTTTCTTTCTGAATGTACATTTAAAGTATTTTATATTCTTTGTCCGCTTGATCTATTATACTGGTCGCACGTATCGAAGTTTTATTTCTTGTAGTTTTAAAACATTTTCTTGTTTCTTTGTAGTTGTAATGTAAAATTAGATTAATTTATTAAGTTTGATTATAATGTTTAGTGTAGACTACCAGAAGAAATTTAGTAGTGTTTTTATATTTTATTTTGAAGTTAAGTAGTAGGTGAAGGGGTAATTTGGTTAATTTTTCTTTATGTTTGATTAATTAATAAGTTTGATAATTTGTTTAGTGTAGAATACAAGAAGTAGTTTGTGTAGTGTTCTTGTAAGAGATTATATTCATTTATTTTGTAGTTGAGTAGAAGGTGAAGGTATTTGGGTATTTTTTTCTTTTTGTTTTTCTTCTAATAATTATTGTAGTAGTTCTTTTAAATATTGTGATAGATACATTATAATCTTCCTTCTACTTTTCTGGTAGTTGAATATACGAAAAAAATCTGATCAAATTTATTTTAAATGAAATTAATCTAGTCTTATTAATTAATCAAATTAAACTAGTCAAATAATATTAATTGCAATCAATTATTAAAAAATATTAATTATTTTGGAAAATAACTTTTGAAATGGAGTATTATTGATAAAATTTAGCCAATTTTTTTTACCCAGTAGCGTATTTCAATATGATCTTATCATTTATCACTGTATAATAACTTTGTTGTGGCAGAAAAATATACCAGTTAGTTTCAAAATATTATTTTTTTTTCAAACGTCACAAAAGTATTAATTTTTGCGACGTGATTGACAATATAAAAAAGTCATTTTAACGCCTAGGCATAAAAGTAAAGCACTTTACGCCTAAGCATAAAAGTATGAAAATATATTATTAAAATGACATAAGTCTCAAATTCAACGAGCCGTAACCATAGTTTCTCGATATATAATTACTCATGGTACAAAGAAAACTTGAAAACAAGGTATGGTCGATAGCGTCTCCAATTTCGTTCAGTTTGCGCATATCGCCTGTGACGTCATATGCCATACAACAAAATATCCGTATTGTTCAATTGCCACTAATAAAAAAAGACCTAAAATAGGGAAGAATTAAATAACCCCTAAAGTTATGTAAAATCATCGAGCTGGACATTTGAAAAGTTATGACACATTATACACATTTATTATGTGTCATCTGTTTGAAAATTTGAAATTGGCGCGTGGAGCTTGCCGACCAATATTGCCGTTTATCACCTGTGACGTGGTGACCAACCTGCGCAATATCATATTTGTTTTTTGTATCATGATAATTACTTACAAGGTATGAGTTTTAAATATTTGTATATTATTTGGAACCTTTGAAATTGTTTAAAACATTATTTGTGGCTTTTGAAAAAAATAGCATGTTCTATTCGGAGTAAAAATGACTTTTGTGCTTCGGCTGTACGTCAAACCTACAGTCTCGCCACGAAAAGTGTCATGTTTACTCCTAATAAAACAATATACTAGAAAGTTTTATGGTTTAACGGGCTTTGTGGGTTAAAACATAATGATATTTTCAGTTTTTAATTCTTGATCGAAAATAAACGGCGTCAGCGATGGCTATGAAATGAAGATCGCTGTCATTTTATATGTAAATTTATGTGGGAAATGTCGTCGATCGTCATTTCCCTGGCAACTGGACGCCGTTTTTTTTTCATATGGTACAAAGTTAAAGCAAACTTGACTCTGACCATGTTTTACGCTAAGAAAGATTTATTTCGTGTAATAAAGATTTAAATGGTGTATTAAGTACATAATATTTATTTAAATGTCAAATCATATTATTGAAACAAGTGCCAAGTTTTATTTTTAATTAAGGAAAAAATTAATCAAGAATGTATAAACGTTTTGTTTTCAAAAAAAAATTTATCTTAAATTCGTAAAACCTCAATTTAGAATAAAATGATCGAAGAATGAAATAAAATTTTATAGCCCTGGGTCAAATCGAAATAAAGTAAGTGTATGTAACTTTTTTAAATATTAATAATTACCAGTAATTAGCATTAATGTACCAACATATTGAAAATTGTTATTTCTTTGTTAAATACGGTTGAAGAATGGCCAAAACATTCATTATCACTACTATTATTGATACACCTAAACCCAACTACAAACTTGGAACTATCAAATCTAATAAGCGCACTTAGAAAACATACCCTTACGATGCTGTCGATCCGCTCGCAAGAGAACGCAGGGAAATTTGCTAATACGCAAAAATACGAACACTTAAAAATTTGATTTTAGTGTTGATCGAAAAGTTGCGAACAATTTGCAAGGAAACGAATAGCCAAAAATTGCCCCCCTGTTCTCTTAATTACTTACTTTAGAGGATATACAAAGAGATTGAAAATGGTTTAAAATTGAGGCAACGCAAGTTTTGCGTCTCGTTTCGATGTTGATATTGAAACTTTCGAGAAGAAACCATAATGAAAAACACTACAAACAGTAATTTTGAAGCAGTTAACATTAATGCCCCTGTATGAAGTGAGTTAGTAGTGATGGTGCTGTTCCTTCGTGATAAAGAGGAGAAATTATCTAAAATTACTGATTTCTAGATGTTTTTTTTCAACATTAAGATGGACAGAAAAGATATTTGCCAATTTTTTTTTTCAAAAAATAAGAAAGTTATTAACAATGTTCAGTTCTTTCACCAAACTCTATAAACTCAAAGTCATATTTACAAAACATGTTCATATTTTGTAAAAATAACCAATTTGTAAGTAGTAAAAAAGTTTGAAACGGTTGTTTTAACAGAAAATGTTGTCAAAATGTCCATATTAATAAAAAAATTAAACAATCTGAAGATTTGTGATTGTAGAAGTATAAACTAATACTTCTATATGACAAAAATAACACCTAAATTGATTTATTTTGATGCAAACATACAGGGTATTCTTGAAAGGTCTCTCTAAGAAATATTCAAACAAATCAAAAATTTTAAATTTTTGTTATAACAATACACCGGGTGCGTATCATATGTCAACTTTTGACATTTTCGCATATGGTTTATTTGAAATTGTAACATACGAAATACCAAGTGTGTGGTACCAAATTATTTGTAAAAAAAATGCTTTTTCAAAATATGATTATTAGCCACCTTTGTTCCATTTGAAAGAAATGAGATATGATTAAAAATCCGATTCGGGCATCTTTTAACCGACCAGGACAAGACACGAAAAATATTAGACGATCAAATCTTTCCAAGGCTCCTTGATTGAAAATTAGTGTTTTTATATTCTAGATTGAAATTTAAAATACTATTTTTTTAAGCGAAACTGTCAAAAGTTGGCATATGTATGTTATTCAGAGTGCCATTTTCTATCAAATACAGTAGAAATATACCGAGGGTGCGATTTAAAAATCAAAAGCTCTAGTCATTTCAGGTGAGACAGGAAGTGACCAAAAACAATTGAATACGTCAATCAATCCTAATTTATGTCATATACCAAATCTAGTTTTTTTTTTATGTGAAAAAATAAAAAAGTTATAGGGGTGAACCACCTTTGAGGCGCACCCGGTAGATAATTTTTGACATAAATTTTCTATAAACACTGATGTGAAATGATATATCAAACTTCAGAGTATGATACTACAGACAAAAGTAAATTGTTAATATAATTATAACTATAAAATAAATGCCTACCCTGCAATGATTAACATTGGACACTGTATTATTGATCAAAATAAAATAAACCTCTCAAAAACACCCTATTATACATATACAGAGAACAATTAAATGACATCGAAAAAATTTCAAGATGGAACAATGTGTAGATGCGAAACATAAAACACCGCATTCGTTTTTTTTTTACCTAAAAACTGATGGATTTGAAAAAGCCCTGGGCCTTGATTCAGGACTAAGTTGGAAACCACCGGAACTGTCAAAAAAATAAACAAAAAAAAATATATAAAAAATTTTGATCAATTTCATTTGTCGTGATAATCGTGTAAAATGTTTTAATGGATCCTCGTATCGTGATATGATCTAACAAAACTAAGTAGCTAGTCTAAAATCTAAATCACTATTTAAAAAAAGGAGAATCTAAAGGAAAATAAAAACACTAAATCACCACAATACACCAAAACACTTTTACTTTTACACTGGACGCGCGTTTCGCTAACCATGTTAGCATCATCAGCAGATGATTATAAACTAAAGTACAATCTACAAGTTGAGCCTTTATATACACGCTCAGTGGGCAACGAGTGGGCGTGGCAAAATCTAGCCAACCGAGTCAGAGCCAACTGAGCGTAACAGTTAGATTTCCGCCACTAGAGTAGTAGGAACAAAGAACTTGAAGGAATTGGACCGTTGACTCTGTTCATACTATCTTTACATTTATTAATTCTGATGCTTTCATATGCATCTAATTGCCTGTAATTTGAGACTTGTTTAATTAATTTTAAATTATTAAGATCTATACAATGTTCATTATCAACAATATGTTCGGCAACGCAAGATTTATCCGGTCTACCGTATCTTATCTGAGCTCAGAGATTAAACTGTTAGATTTATCCGGTCTACCGTATCTTATCGTTGCCCACTGAGCGTGTATATAAACGCTCAACTTGTAGATTGTACTTTAGTTTATAATCATCTGCTGATGATGCTAACATGGTTAGCGAAACGCGCGTCCAGTGTAAAAGTAAAAGTGTTTTGGTGTATTGTGGTGATTTAGTGTTTTTATTTTGCTGTGTAACACCAAAGGTTCCAACCCTCAACTGTAATCTAAGAATCTAAAGGAATGAGTGCAAGTGTTCTAATAAAAAATAAATAAATGTATGGTTAGTTACAAAAATAAAGTTAAAAAAAACGATTGAATATTACTGCCTATTGAGAATATAACTATTATACAAATCAAATATATTTATTCGCTATACGGAATTCATGACTGAAATTTTAGAACAAGCAAAAATCTTATAAAAAAGTGTTTCCTCTGGTAAAAGACAATCCGAGGACATACTGTATAATACAGCATTCACTCATCATCAATTTTTATTGTCCAAAGTAAATCATTAAGATGACTAATAAGAAAAATCAAATAAATTGATACTGTTAATTAAGCGAGGACACAAATAGGGTATTACCTCCAAATGATTGACGTGAAATTTTAACAGTGAATAGAAATATATGTAAGAAACAAAAGTTACATAGTAGCGATGTGTGCTTTCACCCTTCTCGGGGGTGAAAAATAAATCACCCATTTTAATTACAAAAATCAATAAAGGGATGAATTCTAAGCAAAAAATGTTCTACAACATTTTTTTCAGAAAATTAATATTTTCCGAGTTATTTAGGATTGAAAATGTTGATTTTTCATCTAAAAACTGCATATTTTTCTGAAATAACTCGAAAATCTTGCGTTTCATCGCAAAACTCATATAAACCAAAAATGAAGATTTTGGAATAACGAATCGATTCATTTTTTGTTGTTTACCGTAGGTGTAGTAATAGCGGAGTTATCACTCTGTTAACTTAATTCTTTATTTTTCGAAAATTAAATTGCAAACTTTTACGATAAAATAATGGCGAAAGAACATATTTTTCGAAGAAAATAAGTATGACCGTTTTTAAAGTGCTCGAAAAGACCTTTTAAATGTCTTTTTTAAGGTCTTCTCAAGTTCGTAGCTCAAAAACTCGCGGAGTTATGAAAAAAATAAAATGGTCACCTCATTTTTTCGGAAAAAAATTAACAACAAAATCTATGACTAAAATCATAAAAATAAAAACTATCAATTGGTAGAAAATTACATGAGCTACAAATTAACATTCTAGCAGAAAAGCATAAAAGCTGTAGCTATAGTTGATCAGTCTTGAACTCTTCAGTTTTACGAAATTTTTGGGTTTTAAGTGGTCATAGAAGTTGGTCCTTACATGCAAGTCAAACTAAAAAAACGTAATATCTACGAAATAAAGAGATCTACAGAAAAATTGAAAGAGAGCAAAAATATTCCAAAAAAGACCTTCAATTTTCCTCTGTTGTATTTTTTACGTACAGGGTGGGTCAAATTCGACGCTTTTAAACGGAAACACCCTTTTCTATAGGAAATAGACAAAAACTAGTATCGGTGTCTGGAGCTCAATTTTTGTCAAAAACATGATGGTGAAAACCGCATATCGATATCTGTTACCGTTTCGGAGTTACGGGGTATAGTATAGCCAACTGCACATGTATGTTTTTCAAAAATATGCCTTTTTAACAAATCGCTGTAACTTTTTTGCTATAGAAAATTTTGTATTTTTATGAAAACATTTCCAAAGCACCTTTTTACGTAGAATTTAATGGTTTAAGTATAATTTTTTTAAAATTAATAATTTAAGAATTATCAACAGAAAATTTGATTTTTTATATGGGACACCCTGTATATTTTTAATTTATTGAAAATAATTTAAAATTACCTTTCCAAAAATATAACACACTTGATATTTTGCTCGATTCCTCTTCGAGATATAGAGTATATAAAAATTCGCCCCCTTTAATTAAGTAGGCTTAATGCAAAAAAATTTTAGCTGTGAGAATCAATTAAAACGAAAATAATATTTGCTATGAGAGATGCAGAATTTAATAACAATTTAAAATATATTTAACCAATCAGCACATTTAAACTATATCTAATAACAATAAAAATAAATAGCAAACCAAGACATGAGCTTTTGCTACAGGTGTTCGACATATCAACCGTCTTCTGTTATGGACAGACGGGGCAGTTTTTGAACATTTCTCGCGGAATTCATTAACTCAGTAGGGGTGAAAGATGCCCTCTCATAACTGCTAAGTATTTCTAATTTTTGTCTAAAGTATACGGAAGAATAAGGAACCTCTATTCTTCCGCAAATATATCCATAGGATTAGATCCATGGGCACTAAGTCAGGCGGCCTCGACGGCCAACGGCTGGGATCTTGGTTAGCTATTCAATTATTCTTGAAATTGGCTGCAAAAATTTGCTGATAACTTCAGTGATCTGAGGCGGTGCGTCGTCTTGCTGGAAAAATATGTTTTCGAGTTCCATTAAGGGCATTTCATCAATAAGGGGTCCAAAGCCTACTAGTTAAAAGTGGCGAACTTTTAAAACTTCTGTATTTCGAAGGGGATTATAACAAAATATCAAGTGTGTTATATTTTTGGAAAGGTAATTTTAAATTCTTTTCAGTTAATTAAAAATATAGAGGGTGTCCCAAATAAAAAATCAATTTTTCTGTTGATAACTCTTGAATTATTAATTTTAAAAAAATTATGCTTAAACCATTAAATTCTACGTAAAAAGGTACTTTGGAAATGTTTTCATAGAAATACAAAATTTTCCATAGCAAAAAAGTTACAGCGATTTGTTAAAAATGCACATTTTTGAAAATGTTTCCATTTAAAAGCGTCGAATTTGACCCACCCTGTACATGTATTACGCTTAGTTTTTATTTTTATGATTTTGTTGTTAATTTTTTTCCGAAATAATGAGGTGACCATATTATTTTTATCATAACTCCGAGAGTTTTTGAGCTACGAACTTTTTTAAGAAAGCATTTAAAAGGCCTTTTTCAAGCACTTTAAAAATGGTCATACCCATTTTCTTCGAAAAATGTGTTCTTTCGCCATTATATTACAGTAAAAGTTTGCAATTTAGTTTTCGAAAAATAAAAAATCACGTTTACAGACTGATAACTCGGCTATTATTACACCAACGGTAATCAACAAAAATGAATCGATTTGCTATTCCAAAAGCTTCATTTTTGTTTTATATGAGTTTTGCAATAAAACGCAAGGTTTTCGAGTTATTTATAAAAATTTGCAACAAATATGCAGTTTTTAGATGAAAAATCAACATTTTCAATCCTAAATATCTAGGAAAATATTAATTTTCTGAAAAAATATAGAACATTTTTTGCTTAGAATTCATCCCTTTATTGATTTTTGTAATTAAAATGGGTGATTTATTTTTCACCCTCGAGAAGGGGTGGTACTCACCCCAGGGTGAAAACACACATCGCTACTATGTAACTTTTGTTTCTTACATATACAGTGGTGGCCAAAAGTATGGAAACTTTTAATTTGTCATTTATGCTGAGAAATTAAAATATGAAATAAAACGACTTATATAATCGTGACCTACAAATAATTTCCTACAAAACCTAATACATTTAAATAAAAAATTACAGCTATCAAAAAAAAATATAAAAAATTATGAATATTTTCTTGGTCAAAAGTATGGAAACTTAAGAAGAATGTTTATTAAAATTCAAGATAATATAAAAATTACTAATATTTAGTGGAATATCCCTTTGAACTAATTACTTCTCTACATCTTCGTGGCATCGAATCAATCAATCTCGTACAATCTTTACTGGAAATGGCCGCCCATTCGGTTTTTAGCACTTCCCATAATTCATTTTTATTTGAAATAGAATGGCTTCGAATTTTGCTATTCAAATGGTCCCATAAATTTTCTATGGGGTTAAGATCCGGAGACTGTGAGGGCCAATCCATTAGTGGAACATTATGTTCATTTAACCAATTTTGAACAAACCGAGATTTGTGCTTGTGATCATTGTCTTGCTGGAACAACCATCTGAGTGGCATTTCTTCATCAGCATGAGGCAGCATATTATTCTCCAATATGTCTTTGTACAAAAAACGGTCCATTATCCCATCAATTTTAACAAGAGGACCAACAGCTGAGCGAGAAAAACACCCCCATATTATACTCCCACCCCCATGTTTTACTGTGGGCATCTGGTACTTATGGCTGTACCGTGTACCTTTTGGTCTTCGGACATAACGTCTCCCGTCACTACCAAACAGTTGAAACTTGCTTTCGTCGCTAAACAGTACAGTATTCCATTTCTGATAAGACCAGGTGAGATGATTTTGAGCAAATTTAAAGCGGACCATCCTATTTTTCTTTGATATTAGTGGTTTCTTCACCGCAACTCTTCCAAAAAGTCCCATGTCATCCAACCTTCTTCTCACCGTGCGTGTAGACACCGATATTCCCCTTTCACCCATTTCTCGAGAAATGTCTGTGGATGTTTTTCTTGGATCTCCAATTGATATTCTCTTCATTACTTTCATTGTCCTGTTGCACAACTTTCTTGGTCTTCCTGACTTAAAAGCTGTTGAAACGTTCCCTGTTTTATTAAATTTACGAATTATTTTCGAAACGGTGTTTAAAATGTTTAAATTTTTACTTATTTGAATTTGTTTATAACCGCTCTTGTATAATTCAACTATTTTATTTTTTAAATTCGTAAAAAAATATTTAGACTTGGGCATGATGTTTATATTTATCTGAAGCAAATCGTACCGTTTATCAGCTTAAACTAAATAATTTTAATGTATTTATTTATGGTTTCCATACTTTTGGCCACAAGAAATCTATTGTTCTCCTACAAAAACTGCTAAACAGATTTTTTTCGCTGTGTAATTTTTGGAATACTTTTATTTGCTGATAAGCTGTTCATTTATATTCCTGAGAGTTTAAGCATAGCACTGTTTCCATACTTTTGGCCACCACTGTATCTCCTATTCACTGTTAAAATGTCACGTCAATCGGTGCAGGTGTTCAGAATTCGGACCCTAAAACCCTCGCTTACTGGCCTAGTACTCTTTTACTTGTTTCTCTATTCTAGTAATTTATTTTGTTTATAAGCAGCACTGCATTATTAACGAAGAAATTAAGAAAATAAATTATTTATACAGCAAAAAAATAAAGGTCTAAAAAAGGAAATATATTATGTCATATTATTTAATATACCTGTGCAGTGGCGAATCTGGAAACAGATCTAAGCTTTCCGAAACTGAAGAACTAGGACTTGGAGGTTGATCTGGTAAGGCGCCGTTTCTCATCATTTCCACTTTCTTTTTCACCCTCCCTGTAAAAATTATTATATTTTTTAATAAATTTAACTACCATTTGAGGTTCTATTTTGTCTTAAAATATAGATAAAAAAATGTGTTACTCCCACGTAAACGAGCACAGCTCACTCATAATCAGCCTGACAACTTAAAAAGGAAAATTGGAATTAGAAATAATCTGATAATTTGACAGTATAGTAAAGTCGATGGGGACACATGGCTAAAATATTTTCAAAATGGTGGTACATCAGGTTACACAAGGTTGCTTATTTTAAACTGAACTAACTAACCAAATAAAAAACCCTAACCTAACCAAACATGTAGTGTATGTTATTACATTTTTCGATTCTGCGCAATATTTGCCTAGAATATCTAGAGAAGCTGAACAAATTAGGCAAAGAAAATAAATTCTTCTTACACTGAGGGCCAAACCACTAGAAGGCAATGCAAAAAGCAAACGATAGCTAGAAAAGGAGCGAACACTCCACTAACTGTACCAGAACCGTTCTGCTTCCCAAGTTGAAACCAACTTAAAGAAGAACTCGAGAACCTGGAAGACTTCAACCGTAGCCTGGAATGGGAATCCTCCAATGGTTTAAGACACTCGAAGAAGTTTCTCAGGACTTACGTCCAAGAAAAGTCTAAGATTTTTCTTGATTTAAGTAAGAACAATCTTCGGACTGTCACGGGGTTTTTAACAGGACACTGTCTTCTCAATAAACACCTCAGTAGATTGGCTAAAAAACAACGGTGGATGTGGATACAGATTCTGTGGAAAAAATGGGGAAACACACAGAACAGAACATTTCAGCACTGAGTGCACCGAGACGACAACCATTTGAGCCATAAACTTTGGTACGAGTGTACTTTGGTTGAGTACTTCAGTAAAACTATCTCAGATACAGGCTTTTGTCAAAGTCCTGATACTGTATGATGAGTTATAACTCAAGAAAGATGGACTCAATAGATCTATAAGGTTGAGGTCATTAACTGCCCTCATAGAATCTACATTCTACTGAAGAATATTATTTTAAATAATACTCTGCAGTAAAAATATGTCCCATTTATTGATAGATTCGCTGCATAGTATGTCAATTTGTCAATGATGATTGACTATAGGGTCACTTACCTCTTCTTTTTTCAAATTTACTCGTTTCCATGGAGGCCGCTCTGCGTCTCACCGATTTTCCAGGCTTCGCGTCCGGATTGATCATCCACCATGACGATTTGCCCGTGCCCTCGTTCTGGACCCTCATGAAACGGTTGTGCAGCGACAAATTGTGTCTTATCGAATTCTGAAACAAAATGAAATCAAGTGTCAATAAAAAAAAATAACAAATATAACATATAAATATTGTAGCACATCTTCAAGACCAAAAGTTTTTAAATAGTTACAGTTTTAAAAAAATTAAAAAAAATCAATTTTTTCTCTAAAAATTCAAATTTTCAATCTTTTTCAAGTCTTTATTTTCGACAAAATTTAGTCCAAACATAAGGAATATTTTGTTGATGTTTGACCATCAAAATCTTAAACATAAAGAAGTTGTCGAAAAATGAGCTACAATACGGGTATAGTATAATCCTTTATCTTTAATTTCCTTCTTCATTTGTGTAAAAACACCTAGCCAGTTTTACATAAAACGTTAAATGCCGAACGCTTTTATTTTGCTACTTTTTCGGACTAGTAAAACGGACTTTTAAATGTCAAAATTAGTTCTTTATAGGTCTTCGATAAATTTCTCGACCCATTTTCCTAGAAAATCGCAGGTAATAGCACCTTTTCTTTGTCGGAAACCCCGGTCCAGACAACGCAAGGCGCCACACTTCTCGATACGCGATAAAAATTAAGAAACTTTGCAGTTTTCCAGAATTTTCCGCAAAAGACCAACGTCTACCTGTCGTGGAGGCGCCGCCGAGACGCTCCGCTGCCACCGCGTCGGACTCTCGGACGCCGGAAGTCATCTGTTCTCGCCCCCACCCCCCTACTTCCGCTTCCGGTTATCTGGAAACGCAAGGTCGGCAAGATCGGACTGGAGAAAGAGAAATAGTGGAATATGAGCGGTTTTTTCGGCAGTTTAATGTTCGTTTTGTCGTGTTGTATCTCTTTTATTAAGTTAGTATAGTTAGATAAAACGATTTTCGCAACACAATTTATTTAAACCAAAAATTTGTACTGTGAACTAAAAAATTACTAAAGTACTAAAGCACTAAAGTGTCAAAACGAGTGACAATGTCAGGAAATAAATAAATAAATGTGGCCACTTGACATTTCTTACATCAGAGCTACCACCTGAATCCCCAGCGCGGGAAATTTAAATTCCAGTTAGTCAGTCCGGCGCCGAATATGTCCATGGTTGTATCGAATTTATAATAAATAAGTATTAATTGATTTGTGCTATGTTTTATTGTATTTTTTATCAAATCTTTTAGTCGTTCCTTATAGCCCTCTATGCTCTCACGCAATCTTCACAATTTTCTTTTCCGTTCTGAATATTTTAGTTAGACGTAGACAATCGCTGCCGCCGAAGTAGATCAGAGCACTGATTAGACCTAAGTGGTCTCAATCTGCATACATTGTCCTGTCTATTGCATTATTTATTTACTATCAATTCTGCCACAAAGGGAATGCCTTTTACGTATTTTTTCCTTGTTAGTTTATAAAAAAGTTGGTTTCCTTTCATCCTCTGTCATCGAGAACAATTTTTTGAGGTTTTTAAATCCCCCCCTCGTAAATACAAATATTAATTTGTTGTTAAAAAATTGATGGCATAGTTAAAAATACAAGGTAACTTGTAAACACACGTTAAACACAACTTATAAAGTCCAAAATTCTTTAGTTTCAATATTGAAACAAAACGACGAACTTAAAAACCGTTTGAATTAATAAGTATCTATCTTAAAATTCACGCTTTTCAATACCATTTAGTGCTGTCTAATCCTTACAAACCAAACAACCGACGAATTTATTAAAGCATATCGATTTTTCCTTTCTAATCGCCCTTAACCAACAGATATCCTTGGAACCGAAACAACATCGAACTTACTTCAACACAAGTACATAATACCCAACAAACGCGAACTCATTATATTGACAAGAGTTGACGAAGAAAAGCACCAGGGGGGGTGACATGTACCCCTCCAACTCACCCCATTCTTGGATTAAGACATGTCACATCGAGTTGATGTTTTATATCCCTTTCTTAATCGTTCTCCGTAAGTTTGTAGACCGTATAAATAATTTCGGTGTGTTGTATCATCCACCCCGACCCTTTTCTGTTTCGAAGATCAACCCCAAAAAATTAAAGCTTGAGCAAAGTTGCCGTAACGTTAATAATTTAATTATAAATTGTGATAAACTATGTGTGTACAAGTAGAGGAGGGTGATATTTTATTTGAAAGACATTGTGTCAGGAGTTGGATTGTATCTTGATTTAAAAATTGTTACTTGTACAGAGTTTACATGCATTTGAGTGTCTTTGTAATAAATGTCTATACCTATGTGGCGGATTCATCTCTCCAAAAAAGTCCTATATGGGTATTTTGCCACTGAAAGAAAATCTACAAAATAAAATAATTATTTTTGTAAACACTGCTGCGTTAATCCAAAGGAAGCTAATTGTCAGCAGTGGTCTACCAATAAACAAATTTGCCTAACGGACAAAAAAATACTTAACGTTTCGGAAAGTTTATCTCTTTCCGTCGTCGGAAGCAAAAAAATACAAAGAATAAACAAAATATTTAAATTCAACTATTCAAGAACACTTTAGCTTTTTTAAACAGATACTTCTACAAAAATCGTTGACGTTCTGTTAAATTGACATTGTATCAAGTTAAACCTCAAAATTAACCATTAACTACCTGATATATATATATATATAATATATAAATTCGGTTCAGAACGGCCTACGACGTTGTCCGATGCCTAACTTCCACCCTGTGCGATTTTCCCATTGATCTTCTTCGGTCAGATTTTTCTCGCTCATCGACCTTCTTATTCCTTCCATCCATGTTTTCTTGGGACGTCCTCTCTTTCGTTTACCAGGTGGTATCCAATGAATGACTTGTTTTGGAATTTTTTCATTGTGCATTCTCTGAACGTGGCCGTACCATATTAATTGTTTTTGTTCTATATCATTTACTATTGTTCCCTCTATTCCCATCCGTTGTCTAATGTCTTCATTTCTGATCTTATCCCTCCGTGAAATTCTCATTGCTCTTCTAATCGCGTCCATTTCTGTTGTCTCTAATTTCCTTTTATTCCTTTCAGTGAGTCGCCATGTTTCACATCCATAGAGTAATTTGCTTTTAACTAGTGTCTCGTATATATTATATTTCTTGTTTTTTGTAATTTCAGTGCTCCATAGAATGCCATCTATGCATCTGTTAACTCTTCGTGCCTGTATTACTCTGTTGTTTATTTCTCTATCGTCCGATCCATCTCCTGTAAATATCGATCCCAGGTACCTGTAATCTTCAAATGCCCTAATTTCCATATTATTGTCTAAAATAAGATTTTCTGTATTAGCTCCAATTGGAAGGTATTTTGTTTTTTCTGTATTTACTGTGAGACGTCATTTAGCATATTCTTCAATTATTTTCCGCACCATATATTCCATGTCATCTTTGTCGTTTGCAATTATGGCCTGGTCGTTTGCAAATTGCAAGGTGTATAGGCATATGTCATTTAGTTCTATACCCATTCCGTTACATTTTCTTTTCCATAGATGTAAGGCCTTGACAATATAAATCTTAAATAGTGTTGGGGATATACAGCGACCCTGTCGGAGCCCTTTAGTGATAGAAATTTCCTCTGAGAGACTGTTGACCGTTTTTATTTGTGATTTTCCTCCATGCTAAAGATTTTGTACAGCTTTTATCAGAGCTGCGTTAATTCTTGATTCGTGCAATACTTCCCATAATTTTATTATTGGCACTGTATCATATGCTTTTTGTAGATCGATGAATGTTATATGAACTTCCTGGTTCATTGCAGATTTCTTCTCGATGATCTGTTTCAATGCAAAGATATTATCTCTATATGATCTTCCGCTTCTGAAACCATTCTACTCTTCTTCGTAGCTGGAGTATTCCTCTTCAATTAAGTTCCTCCTGAAACTACCTGATAACAATTACTTAATAAGGTAAAACCAAAAAGCTTCAAACTTTCTGTATGATTATTTACGACTTTTTAATTTGTTTTTAATTTTTACGTATGTTAGGTTTATTTATGTTATGTTCTTTAAAATTAAAGAAGCGATTGCCATACATTACTAACATCTACAGATTCATGAGCAATACATCTATTTTTATTAGATTGTATTAAAAAAGCCTATTTTATTTTTTTTAGAAGGTAAAGCTTCTCTCATTAGAAATATTAAGTTCAAATATCTTATTTATTCTTTACGTGTCATAAAATTACATTTTATACATGGATATCATGCGTTAAAAATGGTACTTTTATGGAGGTTAATAGATTTTTTAAACCACGTAGATATGATCTCGATCGTTGAATAATGGATTGGTATAAAAATGCAACCCCCTTCTCCCTTCCAGTCCTTGATTAGCTCTAGCGTCGACGAAAGGACTTCTTCGGTGTTGGATTCGGCGTCATTTCGGGGATTTTTACGAGTGGAATCTGAATATAAAGCGCCCTCTGTGGGTGATATTCGCATTTACATAATCGCCTTTGGCTTGAGGATACCTGAGAATCCGTCTGGCGCCACCATATCAATAATCTTGACCCAAGGGGTAAAACAAAAGGCTGAACTTTTTGAAAGAAAAAAAAATGAATATTTTTACTAGTAATAGCATAAGAGATTAAAATTTTCGATAATAATTTAAACTCTTGGTGATTTACTAGTAAATATATCCGTTTTTTTTCCTTTAAAAAACCTAATTTTTAAGATTTTGATGGCCAAACATCAACAAAATATTCCTTATGCTTGGACTAAATTTTCTCGAAAATAGAGACATAATTTGAAATTCCGTTACAATACAGAAATAGATTGAAGTTTTGTCATTACAGTGATATATAATTTATATGGTTTTGTAACAAATTACTCGTTATTTTATGGCAAATGCTGAAGCTCTGCAAACCGTAATCAAGCCTTAATCAAAGCACGTGTGTTTGGAATTTTGGGTGTGGCTTAACATGACAGTATCGAGCTAAACCTTAGGCACATTTCTGAAATATAATATATATTTCCTTCGGCCACACACCCGCTTTAACCGACCCCTAAGAACGACCCGAACAGTACAGCGTAACCCTTAAGTAAAAGCTTGTAATGAAGAAAGT